GTTTTATGTTTACGCGGCGCGATGCAATGCAATACAACGCGTAAAGAGACAGTACAAGTCATTATAATCAGTAATTATGTCCCCACTGGATGCAACAAATGCCTCATTTATAATGCGTTTTAATGTTTTTGTCTCATCGCTCCGGCCAGACAAGGCATCACAGTATGTGAGGGGCATAACATTTCCGTTACACGCTTGAGGTATTCGGCCAATCACAACGCACTGGATAGCTGGCCAATCAAAAAGCATTTCAAAAAGGCGGGGCATAGAGGAGAAACAATAATGTACAGTATGTGGAAAATAATGTGTTTTTTGAACTTTAAACCGCATAAACATTTCATTACACCAAATACACAAAATAATGTTCTTTTTAGCAGCATCATATGACCCCTTTAACACTAACAGCACTGATGCATTAGGGTTATCCTGATGGTCCTTACTGACTTAAAGGTCTAAGCGTTTACCTGACACCCAGTTTAGCTTCCTCCATCATTTTCCTGAAGTCATCTTTGACCTGCATGATTTTATTCTTTTTCTCTTTCCTCTCCTCCTCAGCACGCGTCTTCACATACTGATCAAACACCTGCAGAGTGGACAGTGGCGTGAGATGAGTGGGCAAATATACACTATACTTGGAGGCCAATATCAATCGGTTTTTACTTTGTGGACAATGTAGCAGTTCAATAAAGTGTATGTGTACCTGTTTTCTCTCTTTGGGATTGAGCAGCAGATAACGTGGATCAAATACAATCTTATGAAGCTCCTTCTCCCATGTAGAGAACGCAGAGACCTGATAAAAGATGAGATGGAGAAAAAGAGTCATAGAGTCATTTCAACCCGCCTTCCTCTTAATTAGGGCCATTATAACGAGAAGAGAGCATTCAGTAGGTGAGCCCCTCTGAGCGTGTCTCTCTCCTGTGGCGCTGGAGTCAGGGTGTGTGAGCCCACTGCTTTTCATCCTCCATCCCACCATCCCTAATGAATGACACACACCGATAGGTGGTCCTCAGCTTCCATCTCTCAGCCTCCAACCCTTTCTTTTCCCACCATGCTAATTGGCGCAATGAGAGAGGTGTAATTAGATGGGGGTGAACGGGCAGCACATCTACTCGAGTGACGACTGTATATGCTGCTGTACAGCACCTCTCAGACACGTGGGGGTCCGAGGATGAGAAGGAGAAGAGGGGGAAGGGGTCTTGCCTTGATGATGAGACCCTTTGACTGCAAATGTGCCTTTTATCTTTGCCATTGGACGGCGTGGCAAAGGTCAGATAGCTCTCTACTACAGACTTGAAGGGATATTCATCACATAAGTGACATATGCATTTATCCATATTTCATAGTAGAAACATCAAATCTGATGCCAAGAGGGGGGAAGAGATGTGAAACTCCACTGATCAGTGCTTCTCTGATCACCTGAAAATGTCAGGTGAGTATTTTAATGAGGACCAAAGCTTAAAACAAATGATGGGTTTAACCTTTCAGACCAGAAAATAAATATATAATCCCACCCTGCCAAATCTCTCCGACATTTTGTTGCGAAATACTTTGAGCCATAAACAGTTTGATTTGTGTTGACATATATATAGTACAAGTAAGTGCAAGTATATTAGTATAAACTGGATTTAAAACTGGGCCTAACTAACTAGAATACATGAGAAATAAATACAGTGCTGCCTTGTCATCATCATTCCGAGCAGGATACTCGATCACTCACATGGTTCCTAGAGTACTATTGGGGGGAAAAAAAAAAAAAAGACTCTCTCTCTCTCTCTCAAAAGTTTGGGGTCTGTAAGATTTTTTTTTTTTAATGTCTTTGAACAAAGTCTCTTAAAGGTGCAGTAGGAGATCTTGGAAAATGCTAACTTTAGCCTGATAGCACTGAAAGCGATCGTCCCATCCTCCCTGCAATAGCTGTTCAAAGCCACACCCCCTGAACGCATATAGGCTCAATTCCAGTCCTCGCACTGGATGTGAAGATGTGTGTGTGTGAGTGTGATGTGTGTAAATCCGTGAATGAATGTTCTGAAGTGAAGTAAACTTCAACAGATTTCCGCTGCTCAGAGAGTAGGGAGCAATGAACACTGTGTAGGGATCATATCGATCGGAACGCAGTTCATGCACGTAGCTCACTTCTAACGAGCTGGTTATCTGAATCGGGTGTGTTAACCAAGCGAGACATGCAAAATATGCAGAGCTGGGGGGCACGAGGACAGGAATTGGGAACCGCTGGGCTACATCATGTGTCATTCACCGGTGAGAAAACTTTAAAAGTACTACAATACCAGGAAGGAAGATCGGGTTGTTGATATTCGTCTGCCATTCTCTGAACGCGTTGATGACGTATCCTGTCTGCGCAAACAGGGTGCGCAGAGGTATGCTAATACATACATTGACAGGCAGGTAGGAAAGCCAATTAAAACGCTCGGACCGAGCGTTTTGATTGGACGAACATTTCTTGGTCCTACACCTTCCACAGAATATATAAATACAGATAAATACATTTAGACCACTTAACTTAATGATTGCTATCGGAATGTGAAGAGACTTTCAACCAACATAACAAAAAAAAATTCTGAAGACAATCACCTATTGCACCTTTAAGCTCACCAGGGCAGCATTTATTTTATCAAAAATATAGAGAAAATTTGGTTAAATATTATTACAATAAAAAAATTTTTTTCTATTTTTCTAAATTTATTCCTGTGATGGCAAAGTTGAATTTTCAGCAGCCTTCAGTCTTCAGTGTCACATGATCCTTCAGAAACCTTTAATCTGATATGGAACTCAAGAAACATTTATTATTATTATTATTATAATTACTGAAAAGTTACTAAATTTAAATATTTAAATTACTAAATATTTTAAATATTATTTTGAAGTCATCCTTGCTGAATAAACAATTTATTTTAAAAAAATCTTACAGACTACAAATGTTTGAAAGGTAGTGAATGTATATATATATATATATGTATATATATATATATATATAATGTGCATATATTATATTGGTACCACTAATAATTAAGCAAAACTGTTTGAAAGGTAGTGAATGTATATGTATATATATATGTATATATATATATATATATAATGTGCATATATTATATTGGTACCACTAATAATTAAGCAAAACTGCTATCTCGGAAACAAATATCTCTGAAGTATATTACCATTCATATTTGCATTTTTTAGCACATGAAATTATCAAGCCATGGCTTCCTGTTTCACAGAAATTTAAAAACATCAAGAGAAGAAAATGAAAAACAAACTCCAGCATATTCATTTGCCAGACACTACTGGAACTTCTAATGGGACCGGATTCTTTGGTAAGATAAAACTAAATAAAATCTTATTTTCAACTCAATGAGGGTTTTTTGCACACAGGAGTAAAAAAGTACCCCATGTGTACAATGAAATGTAAAAATGCAAAACGTATTGAATAAAAGGGTACCATTAATTGTGGCCAATGTGTATTAGAGAAAAAACATTTATTTCATAATAAGATTTAGCCCATTTTAATTTCTTATACTTCAATGAAAGGTCAGATTTTTGTACATTTTTTAAATAAAAGATCAAAAGGATTACAATGCAGATATATTTTTTAAATCTTTGTTCATATTTACCAAGAGTACCAACAATTCTGACCATGATTGTATATATATATATATATATATATATATATATATATAGTATATATATATATATATATATATATGCTTGTTATATGAATAACATGTATGTGTTTTACCCCTCGCTCAAGCAGCATGTCTTTAAACTGATTCATCCGAGCTTCCTGAGGTACCACGGCTCTCTCACGCGCTGCCTTAAGCTCTGCCTCCATAGCTGCCTCCTTCTCTGAGTCGGCCTCCTTCTTCTCCTCGATCCTAATGCACAAAACAACTAATCAGCCAGAAGATATGTGACTAAGCCTAAACCAGCCTATTCACATTAAGTCAGAATTTTTGGCATGAAAATGCACAAGATGTCAAAACAAAATGTCTTTGACTTCCTTCACAGTCCATAATATCATAATAATTTGCCGTCTTATTTAGAGACCACATTCATTTTTAATTGCTCAGATGCTAAACAATTTATCTGGTATCCAAAAATATTTTAGAGAATGAAGAAATATTCTAAACAGTTTTGAAAAAACACTTGTGAATATTTTATACTTTAGTTTCATTTGCATTTGACTTGGTGTGAACTACCTTCAAGTGCTGGGAGACATGTATTTTTAAGTAACTTCCTCTGACATGGAACCTTAAAGTCAATACAAAGCCAAAACTGACTGTTTACTTTCGTAATACAAGTTCCAGGAAAAATTCTCACTTTCGTCTCTTGGCTTTGCTGGGTTCATCATCAGGTATGTCTTCTGCTACAGCAAAGTCCTGCTCCTCTTTAGCCAGCACTGTGTCCCAGGAAACACACAAACACAAAACAGAAGGTTTAGACAATGATGAACGGTCTTAAACTGAAAAATTAGTGTTTACTATCGTCATTTTGCATTATTGACACTATTTTCCTAATTAATGCTGTTCAGTTGCTTTGACACAATCTGTATTGTTAAAAGCCCTATATAAATAAAGGTGACTTGACTTGACTTAGACAGTTATTAACAAGCTGTTGAAGGAGTCTGACATGGATAGCGAATGCTTCATGCTCACAGCTGACATACAGAAATTTTCCCCACTTTTGAGTTCAGTGATGTAGAGACAAATTTAGTAAAATCTAAAAATATACCATGTCAAATTTGTTCTTATTGCAGGGCTCCAGACTGCTCCTAAAATGTTTGCATTTGTGACCAAAAATGTTAATTTGCGAGTGATATTTTTGCTGAAATTAGTACACTGCACATGGTTTATATACAGTATTATCTGGATTCTTTCTAAATATTTTAAACTGTTATCTAACAATAAATGCAACAGATGCAATTCTATGGAGATGACCTTTACCCAGATTGTGGCTGTTGTCCAGGCCTCTTTTGTGGGGAGGTTCCTGAATCGCTTTATCTACATCAACCCGTCCCACCAGCTCCTCCGGCCGCTCCCACATGGACAGACGCGTGGTTGGGTTATAAAAGAACACCCGCTCATCGCCCGTCCACACCACACACCTGACACATATGCATAAGCATTAGGGCACAGGTAAATCCAATACAAAATGCCAATATCCAAGAGCTCAAACTAAATAACCTTTTCACTTTATGAACTCATGTTGAGGGCTATTTATCAAATAAAACATTTGTCTATTAAATCTAGTTGATCTGATTTGTGTGGATCAAATAAATCTGTGTAAATGGCAGTTGCCTACCATGGCGTCCCGGGAATAGGTGTGGTTGCAACAGGCTTTGCCTTTTTCGCTGCCTTCTGTTCCTCTGTCATCTCTTCCTCTCTCAGCTCCCAAGAATAACACACAGAGATGTCAGAAATGCTTGTTTATACACAACATTTTAGAAAGCCAGATATGCTACCAACCTCTTTCTTCTCTTTTGGTGGGTCAATTTTTGGGCTTCCAACTTGCATGTCCATGATTTCAGCATCAATCATGTCAAGAGCTGCATCTTTGATCTTCTCACTCTCTTTTTCTGTTACGGTGACATGAAGATGAGCAAGTTTTGAAAAAGATAATGTCATTGGTAATTAATATTTAGTTTATTTTTATTTTTTTAAGTCACACCAAGGGTCTCTAACCTGTCTCTTTGAGTTCTTCTGGTTTGTCCCAGGTGGTTTCCCCTGTGTATTTATTGTAGTAGTAGGATTTTCCCTCTGGGGTTTTAAACTCAGTCCAGTCAGATGTACTCAGAGCTCCGGGCAGTCCTGAGGGCCCAACCATCGCCATTTGATGGGGCATCATGGGTACCAAGGGTGGTGCCATGCCAGGGAGCATACCTTGATATAACATACACAAAATCAGAAGCAGTTCAAGACATGTAGCTCTTCTCTTCCACAATCAGAATGACAGAATAATGATTTTGCATAGTTAAAAAAGTCAGTTTCTACCAACAGAAAAAAAAAAAAAGATTTGGCCATTATACGATCTCTGTTGGATGATTTATCTACTCCACAAAATATCTAAACATTCAATTAAACATGGGACTAATACATGCAAAGACGACAACCACAATATCACATTAAAAACATTAAATAAAAACGGACACAAGGTAGAAACATTGTTGCAACAAATCACAACACTGTTATCTGAATTTCTAAACCAGTTTATTATCTAGTTTGCTGCCTACAACTCAGCTGTAACGGTTACAAGTTTTCAGAGGTGGAAAAATAACTATGCAAAATGTTAGGTCAAAAACAATTGAAAAAGTGAAAAGTGAGTCTTCAAAAGGTCTCATTTGTAAGAAACAGAGGGGCCTCTAACTGGAAATAATTACGTTAAAAAAAAAAAAAGCATAAAGATGCACAACAGTTACTAACATGCCATAACGGGGAATGGAATTACCGTTTTTGGTAGGAGAGATAGTCTTTACATAGGGACAGCTTACTATCTGCATCATTGCTACACCTGAAAGAGCGTATAAGCAAGCACAAAGTGTTGGAAAAAACACAAACATACGTCAACTACTGCTTCCCGGTGTCATGAGAGTAAATACTAGATCTTTTATGATGAAAATAGTGCTAGCTGATCTATATTCAACTGAAATTAGGCAATAAGGTCAGTAGCCTATGTTGCTTGGCAGCAAGTGCACATGAAAATGGTGGATTACTGCCATCTATAGAACATTGAATGTCACTTCTGCAATGCCACAACATTAATGCAGTAGTTAAAACTGCATTCATCACTTAATATACTACAATAGAGCTTGCTTTGCTTTCTAGAATCATCTTCTATTATATAATTTCATTAAAGATGTTTGTTAGCTGTCATCCAATAAGTAGTGGGCATCTTTTAGACTCTACAGGTTCCAGTCAAATTACAGACATGCACTGGATAGTGTGAAAGAGACAGAAAGACAAGGAACAGAGGAGAGAAAAGCTGTCGCATACTAGAGCAGAAGAATTATTAACAGTGTACAAATGGTTCAACAAGTTCAAAGGTCAAACCTACCGGGCAGTGGAATGGGCATGCCAGGCAGGGGCACTCTGAAGGGTGGCACCATGACAGGAGGGAATCCTGGCATTGGAGCAGCAGGCTGTGGCACAGCATGGGGCAATGCCACTGGCAGAGGTGGCGGTCCTGTAGTCATGGCGACCGTAACCGTTGGAGGATTGACAGCTGCTATTGGGGTTGCCATGGCACTGGGGGTTGTGGTTACAACTGAAGGCATCTCCACGACATCATGGACTATAGGGCAAACAATTGGGTACAGAATGATCACAGATTAACTTCTGACATTCAGATAAAATAAAACAAACAAACAAACAAATGGGGAACAAAACAACTTTCTCCAGAAGGCATTTCCGACCCAAAACAACTTCTGAAATCCAGACAAAATAAACAAACAAACAAATGGGGAACAAAACAACTTTCTCCAGAAGGAATTTCCGACCCAAAACAACTTCTGACATCCAGATAAAATAAACAAACAAACGGGGGACAAAAAAATTTCCCAGAATGCGTTTCTGACTCAAAACAACATCTGACTCCCAGACAAAATAAACAAAAAATGTATCCCAAATCCTGATCCAAAACAATTTCTAAAACCCAGAAAAATTAAAACAAACAAACATATAAATGTAGAACAGGGTTGTGACGGTGAGGAAATTTTCCCACCGGTTAATCGACATGTGACAACACCGGTAATACAGGTATCACCGCAGGGGCGGGGTGGTCCCTCTTTTCCTCGCTTTTAAATAGCTTGTAAAAGCGGCGTGCACATTTTACATTCACTTTCAAATAACGGCAATTCGGAGTAAAGCAATTGTTCGTTTTTAGATCGTTTGAGTTTTCCCTCTTTTCCTCGCTTTTAAATAGCTTGTAAAAGCGGCGTGCACATTTTACATTCACTTTCAAATAACGGCAATTCGGAGTAAAGCAATTGTTCGTTTTTAGATCGTTTGAGTTTTCCCTCTTTTCCTCGCTTTTAAATAGCTTAAAAGTGCCGTGCGAATTAGCGGCAGTTAGGTGCCAATTGCTTGAATGCAACAACAAAATACAACGTCAAACACACTTTAGCGTACATATATATATAAACATAAAACTTTTATTAACAAAACAAATAAAAATACACCATGCTACAGGGCAGGTCATGCCTAATATAAAATAACAAATAACTTACATAAAGTTTAAATATATAAAACTGGAAGCAAGTAAACATGTATAATATATAACCAAATAAATAAGAAACGTAGAATGTTTATTAGCAAAACGAGTAAGAAAGCTTGGAGGCACGGCATACACCTTGATGTCAAATAAAATAAATAAATGACACAAAGTTTAAATAAAGTAAAAATCAGCAAACAATGTGGAACCAATTAAATAAGAAACGAATGTTTAAAAAAACTTCCAAAATCACCTTAGATAAACGGCAAAAGTCAACAGGCTTTTCAAAATCCAAAATATTGCCAAACAGGCGCTTTTGCATCTAGTTTCGAAACTAAATCATCCGCGATCGTCTTGTCTGTCTCACCCCACTCTTCTTGTCAGTCAGTTCGACTAACTAAATCTGATCTGTGCTGCAACTGTCGTTCAACTGCACTGAGCAGCCGCATTCAGTTTTTAATTGTAGTGTCTGTTCTTTTACTGAACTAAATGATTTTTAAAGGGCGCTCCCAAACGACGATGGGGGTCGGTGCCACGGTGGGCAAGTGACATAACCGGTGTTGCGGCTTAACACC